TTTTTTTTTAATTTGAACTAATTCATTTAATTTAATAATTCAAGCAAGATCTCATACTTGTTTTTTTTCTTCAGGAATCTCTTCTCAAAATATACAAAAAAAAAGTGTGAACAATGCCTGTAAGTAATTACTAGACTGTTTAGCAATATTTCTACTTTTTTTGACTGATTTGATTTTATTCCTTTAATAGAATCCTGATGAAAATGATGGCATTTCTACTGGCGTTGAAGCCAAAGACGATCCTCCTTGTGTTTCTTCTCCGTCTGAAGTAGGTCATACATATCAACTTTTTAGCTTACTTAGTGCATACGTTTGATTACTTCAAAGGAAACAACAGATGCAAAGAACGTCTAATTATTGGAACATCTATCGAACAAATCTCAACAGAACGTCATAACTTCGAAGGCTTTAGGAAATGCATTATGCTTGTTTTGTATTTTGATGATAGTCTAATGACTTATTATTTTCTACATAATCCATTACTATACAAAATTATTTTGTAAATAAGAGTCTTTGTCAAAATTATAGAGAAACTGTTCTCTTTAAATATCATTTAATTGTCACATAGCATTTTACACAGTCCATAGAATATCTGTTCCATATTTGCATCATATGAACAATTGAGAGCCACGGCGATATGAATATTTCGAAAACCAGGCCATGAGTACAATAAAAAAACAAGAATCCATTAGGTACTCGTGTTCCTCACGTAATGGTTTGGTCAAGTAAAAAAATGTGTGGATGTACCTGAAGCTAAAACTGAAGTCATCAATTAAGATCTTCTGTATATTTGTTAACACGTGGCAGCTTCTTGATGATCAACTATTAACATTTTCTATTTCGATATGTTGACAAAGGAAGACTAGTCACGCAGGTTTCTATCGTGTTGTGCATCGGACAATATCATCATTCAGTTAGAACGTTTAGTTGGACCTTGATCATACTAGAAGTGTTTATATTTGTAGAATGAGTTTAATTCTGCTATCAAACTAAAAGTGAAATCTTCTAATCTAAAGATAAAAACAATTCCCATGTGTAAAAATACTCATCGAGTTTCTTCTATGATTATTATTATGTTATAATCATAGTCCTCATATGTGTTCTATTGCATATTATTCTTAATTATCAACCAAGTGTTTCAATTTTAGGAATAAATCAGTAAAGCTATATCTGGTAAAATCAGGTAGACCTTTGATGATTTTATTCATCATGCATTTGTGTCTTACTTTTACTATTCCAGTTGTCAGCATGAGAAACATGGTGATTTGAAATCTTGGATCTATAAATATTGATAAATGAAATGTCAGCTCATAGCAAAATAACATCGATATATTTCATAAACGAACATATACATAGAAGTATCATGCACAAATTATGTTTTTGTCTCGCGACATATGGCGAAGATTGAAATTCAGAATCACTGGTGGGCAAATTCAATGCATTTTGAGTAAATCGAGTCAAATCCGTCGAATAAAACTTCTTTTCTGTACTAATTGAGTAGAAAACGAAAGGCAAACGCTATTATACTACGCTGTAAAAGAAAGCATAGAATAATCAATCCTTGCACTATAAAAACATTTTTCATAAACTCTTAAGTGATTTATAAAAGTAAGGATATATGACGTATATCTAAGAATTATTTATTTAATGTTTGTATCAGAAATATTTAATATTCTCTACATACACTGATGAAAAGACGTATAACAAGGAGTTTAGGAGATTTCGCAAAACTTAACTATGTCTTATAAAGTGTTATATAAATTGATGAAATCTTACTAAGGTAGTAGAATCCAATTAGCGTCATGTAAAAACATTACAAATTTTCTTAACCAAAATGATTTCGCACTACACTTATTTTTTTCTTCGTCTCATTTATAATACAAATATATGTTCATCAATCAGAAACTTGACTGGTCTGATCTGCTTTCTCTGATAGTCCCTTAACACTCACTATACAACCGATTTTGGAAATTACATATCTGTGTTCAGACTTGATACTTTCCTGTACGATATTTATTATATTATTAAGTGTGAATTCAAAACGAATGTATGTTTTTAAGGGACCAAAAACGACTGATCCCGTTCATGTTTACTTCTATGTCATATATTCATATTTTCTACAGTTTTTAATTGCTAACTTAAGAAAAATTGATTAGTTTTTATAATTAGTTGAATACAACTCACCCTTGCAATTTGTTTGTTAAATATTTATAAAAACGAGAAAATACTAAAGACTCTTTTCTTTTGTTAGTTGTGATGGTAAAGATACTCGTTTTTCAGATGTTTGATTAGATAATTCTACTTAATAATGAACAATTAATTATTAAACGATTTCAACTAATAAGAAAATAAGAACAACTATTTATTTCTAACTATTTCACAATGATCAAGCACACGATGCTCTATTCATTATTCTAGTAATAACTATCTAGTGCAGTTTTAACTCACCATATTGACAAAGGTCGGTGGCAAACCAATAATAGCAAGTGGTTGATTGCGGATAATAGACGGACAAATGTGGATAACCATTGACAGATGATGAAACAATTGTCAAGTGCTATAAATTTTTGAGGGGAGCAAAGATATGTAAATACCCATTTCTAGTATAAAGAATATTCGACGATGTGTTATTGAGATATTCATCATTATTATGAAAAATAAGATCTGTTATTTGATGTTTAACACTAAGACAATGTTAAGAATTTACCTTTAAAATAACGAAAAGTTATCTTTTCTTCGAAATTGAAGAGTTTCAAAAAAGTTAGGTTTGAATAATCAGTAGCTAGAAAAATGCATTCCATAGATGTTGTTTCGAAAATACGTTTTTTTTTAATACAAGGATGCATTCGAGGCAATCTATAATTACAAAATCGGTCAAGTTTTGAATCTATAATTGATGACTATTCTTATGACATTGAGAATATTAGTAAATACATCATCTTGTTTTAAAGTATCGATTCATTCATTATTGTTTCCAAATAGAGAATATCGATATTATCGAATTTCTTCAACATAATAATCAATAGTTAATTGAGTGCATCAAGAAGATAAAAATTAAACTAATTCATTTTATATTATGTTTTTCACCTTTTAAAAAAAATATATTTATAGACCTTTATTTTTTTTATAAATATTTCTATCAATGAAGAATACAATTCATGACCGCTGTTGAAAATATGTATGTGAAAGTATAACAAATAATGCTTTCGAAACAAGTTAGTTTACTTTTATAAGATATACTGATGTTAGGAACGACACATTTTAGAATAAGAGAATTACTATCCCCATGTTCCACCTTCTTCGACCTGTAATGGATCCTATCATCTACGATACTAATCTAATAGAAAAAATGACAAATGATAAATATTCGAAAAGATGTACTATTTCTCGATCACTTCATAGTCAAGATGATGTTTTTGAATATCTCTCAACCAAGTCCTTAGTTAAAAACGACTACACTGTTCAAAATTAAAGTATTCACATGGACAAGCACAAAATAAGTGTATGCAAACAAGAAAAAAAATTCGATTTAGAATATGCACAGCACTATGCGTTTCTCTATGATGTGAGAGGTTGTGGACATCGTTCACGTATATAAAATGGTTAAACATGATCAACTTCATTCACTATATATTTGAAAAAATAATTATTGATAGTTAGCAAAGTGTGACTATTCTAAGCAAAGGATCGCATTTTAAACTCATCCTCGAATGAATAAAACTTATGTTATTATGAACATGAGAGGGTGGGTGAAAAGAAGAATTAATTACACACCCATACCTTATTACATGAAGAAAATTTTTATGGTATGTTATCAAATTCTATTGTTGTTACTCGTCTTGAGGGCAATATCAAAATAAAAATATATAAAATCCAAAATGTTGCACAAAACCAAATGAAAGAGTTTTCAATAGATTTCAGCTATATTAGTTTTCTACCATTTGAGATAAGACCAAAAGATCTTAAATGTCTTCCTACACATGAGTATAGATCAATTATACAAATTGTTTGTTCTATCATTAACCACAATTCATAGTCTAATGAGTTATATGTATCGTCATCTAGCAGCACTGATATCTTTATTTGAAAAACAGAAAAGTATTCATAATATTCTCAATGTAACAACTGATTGATTTAAGAATTCAAATATGGCTCCTTATGAAAATTTATACAAGCCTAGATTCAAAAACAAAATCAATATTTAATAATGTTAACAACATTAAAAATAATGGAATTGAATTTTTAAGTTTACAGAGAAGTCTCCATCAACTTGAACAAGATTTGTGAGTTTACAAGCAACCTATTATTACTTAATGAAAAAGTTGAATCTTATCATATCAATATAATGACGACAGTCTCTATCAGATCTCGGCCTAGACAGCCAATGACCCTTCGTCAACACCGAGACAAGCATGCTCGTTCAATGGCAATCGTCTTACAATGATGAGTGAACATCACGGATCGATAACAATCAAAAATACTTTGGTTACTTCTATTAAAAGTTAAATGTATACGACATAGTAATTGAAATTAAGCTGTTTATTTCGAATGGAATATATTGAACAAACAAGAAATGATCATTGCCCTAAGAGTCTTATTAAATTTGTAGTCAAAAAAATTATATTGTTACTGATGAGGTGCATAGATCATCGAAGTCCCAGCCATTAATGCTGTTCGAACATAATACAAAATTTTCGACTTTTGAACGAAAAAAAAAACCGTCAATATCAGAAGTGAGTACTCTCCTCTAGAAAACAGACATATCTTTCTTTATCAATGAATAACGAAAAGGTAATAAGCATATACATGAAGACATTGCACATTTATATATCGCACCTTTACCTGCACTTGTCATTACAGAATCGAAAAAGGAAAGAAGAAAAGAAAAAGGAAAAAAAAATGCATGAAGAGACACGTTTTAGATCATCAGTAAGTAAACGTCGAATAATTTGCCGCATTCATTCTGAGTGTTGTTTTTATAATTTATTCTCACTTGCGCAATGTCCACATGTCTATTCGAATTTTTCCCAGTCGAATTATTGCATGGTATTTTTCATTATCTATCAGCACATGAAATTTTCTACGCATTTACTCAAATAAGTACTTATGTAGATAATGTACTTGTTAGTTATGATCGTTATTCAATCAGTTTATCGTCCATGCTTAAACATCAATTTGATCTTATGTGTCGTCTTATTCGACCAGAACAAGTTATCTCAATAACCATTGTTGATAACGATGATACACCAGATCAATCGAAATTATTCTTTTCAAAATTCGATATTCGACAATTCATTAATCTTCGTTCATATGCTATTATTTCATCGGATCAAAGTATTTTTCTACAATTAGATCTTTTGTGTCAATTTAACCATTTTCAAGCGTTGACTTTACCAAACATTTCACAAACTTATTGGTGTCTTTTTGGATCACATGTAGAAACAATTATACCTCGATTGAGAAAATTGATTACAAATCAACATCCAATAACGAAACCATTGAATAATTTGAGATATTTAACAATCACACATTGTTATTGTCATAATTTGGAATACTTATTTCGTCAAATGATGATGTTACGTTCGTTGAATATTACTGTGTCTCTTGATATGTTTACTGATTGGTCCAAAAAAATACCAGTAATGAATCATCTAAGACGACTGACACTTGGCATTCAATGTAAGATAATATAGTCTAAGCTTAGGTTTTGAAAAATGCATCTGTTATCTTTTCTTTTTAACCATAAGATGGTCGATTGACGATGAGTCGAATGAATCAGTTTCTGTCAAAAATGCCTCGCTTGCTGCATTTTGAACTCCGAATTGATGATCCAATGGATGTTATCGGTGATGAACAATGGACACGGTGGTCTCGACATTCAAATGCTGATATCGAAGATGCGAACGATATAATCAGCGGTCATCAATGGAAATATTTAGTACCACATCTTCAAACATTCGATTTTCGTTTCTGTCTCTTAAATAGATCTGACGAGAAGATTCTTGATTCATTTCGATCACCATTCTGGCTCGAGCAAAAACAATGGTTCGTTGCCTATGATGATTATCAATCATCACCATGCCTTTTTACTGTACCTCGTTTTGCACCGAAGAATATCATTTATTCGTCGGACTATAATACACCTTGGTGTACATCATCCAATCTAGGTCTTGATCAATTTGTTGATGTTCTTACGTTGCCTAAATTTCGTCCAGTAACGCATGATTTCATCAATATGACATCACTGATACTCAAAACAGACAACAATCTTACTTTGGACACAATTTTGCCATTTATGAAATTACCTCACTTAAAGTCACTTGCAGTGTCTAGTATGGCATTAGTGACTCAACTGTCTACAGAAACCATGTTTGAATCCATTCGTTCATTGACAATAGATACAATAGTGGTGAAATCGCATGCTGAACAAATATGTATTGTGTTTCCACGATTAGAACGTTTACAAATCGGAATCAATGATCAAGACACAATGCTTTTGTTAATTGATGGATTGAAGCATTTATCGATTGTCATGTTTCTATGTTGTCAGTCATTACGGATCAAACCTTTGACATATGAATGGTTTATTCAAAACTCTTCACGATTGATGGGAAACAATAATTTTACATGTCATATAAACGACAATAAAATACACTTATGGATGAGCATCGAATAGTTAATCGAACAAAGTGTCGAGAATATTACATTTTTTTTTGTTTAGTCAAGATTTAACCTCGAATAAAATTATGATCTTTTTCATCTCTTTTGAATATTTGTCACAGTTTTTATTGAACCTTGTAAGTTCTCTATTGAATTATATATATCAATGTTGTGTTGATGTAAAATTCAGACGATTACTTTTTTGCTAAAGTTTCAGCTTTACAATGGATCACAATTTCATACTGATGTTCGATCAGAAATAGGGGTGGCACTTTATCTTTACTTTATCAAGTAAAGTAAAGTAGAGTTACTTTACTTTACTGAGTAAAGTAAAGTTCGGTTACTTTACTTTACCGATAAAATAAAGTAAAGTTACTTTACTTTACTCAGTTAAGGAAAGTTAGTCTACTTTACTTTACTCGATAAAGTAAAGTAGGTCTGCTTTACCCGAAAAGTAAAGCAAAGTAAAGTAAAGTGAAGTATCTTTTACTTTACCGAAAAAGTAAGATGAAGTAAAATAAGATAAAGTAAAGCATGTAGTTGATTATTATTGATTTATTAGTTCATTATCATTGATTTATTAGTTCATTATCACGCATTAATTACATTCCAATACGTCAAAAGTTGCGTCGACTTACGGATCGAGGGCCTCCAAATAAGCTGAACCTAATTTTATTACCTTGAGAGTCAGCATTGAACCCTGACTATTTTTCGTAATTTTATTTTCTACTTTATCACAACCTAATTTTTCACATCTGGGGTACCCCTCAGGTATCGAAAAAATTTTTTGTCGCTGTTCTATTACAAGTCTTTATAGTTCAATAGTACTTAGTTCTCTGCTTACAAATATATCATTTGTTTTCAAAAGTACTCAGATAATAAGAAAGTGGTGGCGTATCTAGGGGTGGCTAGAGAAGGGGCCACCCTTCTACCGAAAGTCTCTGCCCTCCCACCGACAAGAAGGAAAGCTTAACAATTATCTTGAAATTTTTATCGTTTTTCTAGCATGTTATATAGCTCTAGAAATTCAGTTGACGAAGAGTGGATACACCTTTCAACTCTACTGAAATTTTACTTGAAAAAAATATTCTTGTTCGAAATAAAAGGGCACGTGTATGAATCATAATCAGCAATTACTTACATTTATTATGAGCTTAGAGTAATATCTAACACAAAAAGTGTAGATGATGTATTGATAGCAGAGATCGAATCGAACCGAGTTTTACTGGTTCGAGTTAGGTTCGGCTCATCTTTCTTTTCTAAAAAAGAGTTCAGGTTCTGTTCCTATTTGTTTTCTTAAAATCAATTCGGATTCTGTTGGGTTCGAGTGTGTTTCAAAAACTTCAGATGTGAAGCGTGGGTGTGAGTGTACGATTTGGGTGCGAGCGGAGACAAGGCCCACATCCACACCCACACCCTTACTACAAGAATTATTCACTTCTACTAACATTATTTGTCTCGAGCGTAATCTAGAAGATCGTGCAAGTCGGTGTATTTTTACGAACGAAAAAATTAAAAAAAGTATGAAACAAATCATTTTACATCCTCGGACAAAAGTCTTTTCTCCCCTTATCTTTTTATGCTGTCATACTTTGTATCAAATTTATTACTGAGTAAAGATATGAGATAAGAGTTTTATTAGTGTAATCTGTACACCAAAATGAAATAAAACTTTCACGTCATATTTCTACTCAGTAATAAATTTAATAGAAAGTTTGACATCATAAAAAGATAAAGAGGGGAAAGATTTTTGTTCTGGAATGCAGATCCTACAAGGGAACCTATGCATGATTTTTTCATATGTTTAATTCCTCAGAGAGAGTCAAAGAACCTATTTTAAAGTGAAATCGCCAATCTAAAACTTGAAGTTGATGTACGTTTGTGATTTATTTATCTATTCGAAACTTGACGAACTAGAACATGAGTGGCTATTGTATGAGAATTGCCAACAAATTTTGACAGAAGGGTACATTTGAGACACTATATCTCAACAAGAGTTTAAACACGTATCTTTGCGCATCCACTGAAAATAGATGATGACATGTCCTACCAAATAACAAATTAAAACTTGAATTAAAGGTCCGAGAAAATTCGAGGAAATAACTGCATTATTGATCAGTGCTTATTGTTTTTTACTATACTGAGTTTAAGTGTTTGCTTTTATTATAGCCTAAGGAATTTCAAGAAGTCCAAATGGCCTGTAATATATAGTAAATACATAACATTGTACAACTTCATAATAATTAATGAACATAATTAGATCCAAAATTTAAAACATACATTTTACTTTTATGGTCCTATTAATGATATGCACCTATTTTATATACATTGTGGGATCGGCTGCTTCACAGACACTGACTAAAAGCAGTGTCTAGGATGCACTTAAATGCAGCACCATAATAGCTTCAATGCTAGCTATGATATAGGCTCAAATCTTGAAAATCGATTTTGTTGCCTGACTACCCACTGCTGTGAGGAGGGTAGGAGACGCTAAGGGCTCTCACGCCGCGACGCTGAGATAAAAGTGTAGTTACGCGAGTAAATGGCTTTTTGGACAGTTGAATTTTTCATTTTCTATCCATACGCATCTCGTTATGATGCAAACTTGATTGGAGTTCAAAAGGGGCATCTAATGTTTTCACCAAAAAAGGAAACGACTGCACATAATAGTATATTTGATATTAGACTGAGTCCTTTGTCATTACTAGCCATCAAAAGAGAGGTATTACTGATGATTATGAAAAGATAGTTAATGCTTTCTCAATTCAGCATAAAAAACAGTCGAATACTGTTGAAATGATTATTTTTTGTTTATTTCCCTTTTGTTCTTCTCTTTATTGATTTAATTTCATTCGATAAAAGAACAGATGTATTGTTTTGTGTTATTCATCAGAAACTAGATAATTGAAAAACTTGATTTATACTGAAGACAAAATTTACAATGACGTAGAGAGAGCTTGAAGGACGGTGGACACTGCCTTCCCACCCACAATTTCCTGGATACGCCACTATGAGAAAGAGCGGAAGCACTTCCTAACAGCATTAAAAACCAGCTTTCGACCAGAAAGTTAATTAGAATACGACCAGATTCATTTCCTCAAAGTTATGATGGGTTTGACTTGACTAAAAATTCGTATTGTGACGACTTACCTATTGAACAAACCTTTTCATAACAAATTTTTATGAAATATGAATTATTTAATGGGTCAGCCCAAGGATGACTCTTGGATTAACCCACAAAATCTACCTAAAACTTTTTATAGGTAGGTCAGAGGTGGAATTATATAAATGGTCTGCTCAAGCTACTGGTTTGGATTAGGGCTGATCCATGGAAGCCCTAACTCAATGGATACTCGTACCAACCCAATCCATTTCGCATCTCTGACCCACATAGATCGGCTCAGTTTTGTATTAATTTCAGATATGACATTTGTCTGAAGTCAAATGAGATTTTTCTATTCGGAAACCATAGAATATTAGTCAACAAAGACGCAAACAGAGTCTCAAGGATAGGATTTTGAGCAAAAGTACTTTACTAGATATGAAGTTTCAAGTCGAAAATAGCGTCATCTAAAAGAGCACATTCAGCTACATGCTTGCTAAAGAAATTTAACCACGGCATCTGTAGAAACTCTAATTTCGTCAGGCTGAAAAAATATTATGAGAGATAATATGACCCAAGCGGGATGGTATATGCCAGTTATCGATAGAAAAAATCAAATATTCAACATATTCTTATATTCTCTGATAGAGAAAAAGATTCTGCATAAAATGAACCTATTTTCGACGAAATAGAACTGCATTTTAATGAAATTTCTGGACAAAAGTTAGGTCTTAAGGCTTTCAGGGAATGTTTCCGATCTTTCTTATTATTTGAGTACTTTTGAAAATAAATGATATATTTGTAAGCAGCGAACTAGGTACTATTGAACTATAAAGACTTGTAATAGAACAGCGACAAAAAATTTTTTCGATACCTGAGGGGTACCCCAGATGTGAAAAATAGTCAGGGTTCAATGCTGACTTTCAAGGTAATAAAATTAGGTTCAGCTTATTTGGAGGCCCTCGATCCGTAAGTCGACGCAACTTTTGACGTATTGGAATGTAATTAATGCGTGATAATGAACTAATAAATCAATAATAATCAAATACATGCTTTACTTTATCTTATTTTACTTCATCTTACTTTTTCGGTAAAGTAAAAGATACTTCACTTTACTTTACTTTGCTTTACTTTTCGGGTAAAGCAGACCTACTTTACTTTATCGAGTAAAGTAAAGTAGACTAACTTTACTTTACTGAGTAAAGTAAAGTAACTTTACTTTATTTTATCGGTAAAGTAAAGTAACCGAACTTTACTTTACTCAGTAAAGTAAAGTCAAATACTTTACTTTTCTTTACTTTATTAAAGTAAAATAAAGTTAAAGTGCCACCCCTAATCAGAAAGCCTTTTAATTAACTATGGAACATCAATGTTTCTATTTTGCAGAATGGATATGACACAGTCTCTTTCATTCTGACAACCATCGTTTTCTTACAATATTGAACATGATGATTGCAAGTGATGAGAATATTCTTAAAAATACAGATAATACCGTTCAAACTTCATTCGAGAACGATGAAGAAGAGTCTAATTTTGTAACTGTGAGACTTGAAACAATAGTGACTTCTTTGATAAGAACAACGCACAAAAAAGAAAAAAGTATCATCCCAAAGATAAGTATGTGCTTTGTCATAGTTGTAGTTCTCTTTCTTATCACCATTTTCGTTCTTGCTATCTATCCTACTCATTTCTAACAAGTTCTAAAGCATTGTAAGTAGATTTTTTTTTGGTCAAGATTTCATCACTTCGATCAAAATAAAAATTTACTAGAATTAGAATAAAGTCATGATGAAGTTTAGTTTTTCAACAATCAAAAAATCTGATTCATAATTAACTGGGCTAAGAAAAAATAAACATTTGTCTAAATAAAGTCAGTTATCAAATACCTATGTGATCAGCTTTGATCTTTTCTGATGAATCATAGAAAAGCAATTTTCTGTAGTGCCATAATCTATTCACGGTTACAAAGAATAACTTAAATATCTTTACTGTCTTGAAAATACATGTTACTCTAATTATGAGACTTGTATTTAGAAAGTATATGAATGATTTGTTTCAGTAATACAATCATTCTATCATGATATTATGAACTTTCAAATTAGTTTACATGCCTATTATATGTCATCTCAGTCAGAGATGGACAAAATCGCACCGCGCCTCCCCGCGCTTCCCCGCGTCGCTGCTCGCGCCTAGGCGCTACGCAGATCTCTCTTTCTCTTTGCTCTACCAATCAGTTTCTCAAATTCCACCGAATACCGGGATGCTCTAAGCATGTGCTCATCGAAGCTCAGACTAGTGTAGCGTAAGCGTGAGCAACGGCGCGGTGAAGCGCGGGGAGGCGCGGTGCGATTTTGTCCATCTCTGATCTCAGTGAATAACTGAATAGTAAGTCACAGTAGTTATCATGAAAAATGTCTTCTTCAACTGCAAAAGATTGAATGTTTAAGTGTATTTAAAAAAAAACAGCTGAAACGTGTTAAATCCTATTGAAAAATACAAATTACCGATATTAAAATAATTTTAGTAGATGTATTTTACATATTCGAATGCTGAACTAGGTTGAGACATAATTCTTTTTACATACTTGACATAAAAATATAATCTAAACGAATAAAAAAAAACGATCTGATAAAGTTATTTCAGGAAGATTTTCAATAAAGAAATGTCTTATTGGTAATGATGGCAGTTGAGTTCAATAGGTTTTAAATCATAATATCGATTCTATTTTGCTCCCAACAATAAATAATAAGATGAAGGTTTGACATGATTGATCACGTTCGATCGCTTCATATATATCCATATTGCATATGTTACAGTGAAGTATTTCATAGATAGCACTAAAATATAATCACTGGCCTACGAAAAACTAAGAACTTTATTTATTCTAAAAAAACTCGTTTGTGAAATACCACAATTAGTGTCTCTGCGTTTAAACAAATACCAAGAGACGAATCTAGTTAAACGCGTTTTTTGAAGCATCCTGTTTAACTAAGCAGTTTTTGAAAGCATTTTATTTTTAATAATGATGAAACATAATCAAGATTAACAATACCTATCAGTTATGTTACCAGGATAAGACGAATAACATTTTTTCTATCGGCTTTTTCATCTATCGCTCGTTCATTTCGAAAGAGTTTTTTTAAATATATTAAATTTCTTTTTTACACGTATAGACGGAGCAATCTGCAGCCATGCAAAGCATCCAAGAAGAAACTGAAAAGAACGAGAAGAAACCACCTCGACCTCTATTAAATGTTGAAGATTATCATCAAAGGGCAAAAGAGAAATTAAATAAAATGTTCTATGATTTCTATAGCACTGGATCAGATGATCAACTAACACTGATAGATAATCAGATAGCTTTTCGTCGAATAAAATTGCGTCCAAAAGTCCTTATTGACGTATCATCACATTCTACAGTAGATTCGATCAGTTGCAAGACACAACTCTTCAATTCTACAACAATTTCATTCCCATGCATCATTGCTCCTACATCTGTGCATCGATTAGCGAACAATGAACACGGAGAACTAGCAACTGTTCGAGCAGCTGTTGCTTGTTCAACAAAGTTTGATACGCAAAGCACGTCCAGTGCAGAACACCCTACATTTTTTATCCTACTCAAGATATTTTCTTTCCAACTGGAATTCTTGCTCTACACTTACAGTGTCCTAAAAGATGTGAGTGAGTGGGTGTAAGTCTCCTCTTTCTCCACGCCCATCCTCAGAAGTGAATTGTTACTTCTTTTTTGAAGGCTAGATGATTTCTTCCTTAAGATAGTCGGTATCTACGATGCTCAGATGAAACTATCAATAAGCTATGTGTTTCGGATGTCTATTGACACTGCCTATCTTTCGACCGATCAGTTTCGATAAAAACAAATGTATCCAAGGCTACACTCATTAGATCCACTAAATTCGACCTATTGAAAACATTATGTCTGATTTTTGCACAGTTTTGTCCTCTATTACATAGTGTGGTAAAGTGGTAAAATGTCGAAGGGAAAATGTCGAAAGTGAAAATGTCGAAAAAAAAATGCCGAAAGTCAAAATGTCGAAAGGTAGGATGTCGAACGAAAAAAATGTCGAAAGTTGTGAATGTAGAAAAACAAAATGTCGAAAGTGAAAATGTCGAAAGCGAAAATGTCGAAAACACTAATAGCATATATTTAGTCATCTCTTTTATTGACAAGAATTTTAGCAAATAAAGCACAAGTCAAAAACTATTCCAAAAAAAGAGAGATGAAGAAACATTATATGAATAGATTAAGATAACAAAATTTGACAATAAGGATAACTATTTTAAGAGAAGAAAAAGAGACAATGAATAAATTAAGAAACAGAACTTGGCCGTTGAATATAATATTGAAAAAGCTATTTTCAATTCATTTTTTTTGTTCATATCTTTTGCGACGACCATCGACAAACCTTCGAGGTGTTCATTCAAATCAATTTCATTATTTGAAAAATGTCTGCATAAGACATCAAGACGTTTTTCACAACACCAGTATTTGACCTTGGGACATGACTTGTTTAACTGATATACAAATCCATCACAAATAATCACACGTTTGCCTTCGTTACTTTGTGAAAAAGTTATGATTGATGTAGTACTCATGTTGACATAAGCAAAGAATATAGAAAACAACTTGATAAATGTCTGTAGAAATGGACGCAAGCTGCTATATATATATATGCAATTCAATAATTAATCAATATCGTTAGATTCGCTTAGCGAGACAATGCATCGTCAGTTGATAGAAATTTGTTTGAAGGGTGACCGCTCACTTCGGTACATGACATTTCGTCCCGTTCAATTCGTCCCACACGATTCGTCCCAATTACATTTCGTTCCATTACATTTCGTCCCCTTACATTTCGTCCCAATTACATTTTGTCCTAATTACATTTCGTCCTCTTACAATTCGTCCCAAGTTCATTTTGTCCCCTTACATTTCGTTCCAATTACAATTCGTCTCATATCTTTTCTAAGATCAACTTTTAGTTATTTTAATTAGATGTCGTGTAAATACTTATCGTCGCGTCTATTAATCATCGCGATAATAAACGACCAATGAACAATGAATATATTCCTTTTTTCTATTCTACATATTTATCGAGATTAATTTTCTATTTGTCATTCAACCACGTGCGCTCGTAGTTATTGGCATTTTGTACAAATTTGTACAAATAGTATAAACAAAAACATGAATACTATTGAGGTATGAAAGAGTTCTCGAGGAAATTCAATGATATATTTTTCAGAATATTTGTACACTCAACATCGAATAACAGAAGAAAAACGTATATTTCGTTGCGGAGATCCAAATTGTAGAAGTAAGTGTAAATCGTTAAATCTAATCTTTTAACTTTGCTTGATATTATTTTTTGATCGTTGTCAAACGAATATTCAGATGGAAGTATTACTCAAAGAACCATCTGAACATTCTCATGTACCTGATCCAGATCGGCTGCACCTCATTCGACTTAAAAATGAAATTAAAAGTCGTGGTGCATCATCAGATGAAGGAGCTAGTACGATACTATTTGATGTATTACGGACAATTCCATTAACTATAACTACTGATTTACCTACAAATGACGCATTGTTGCAAACGATTCGATTTGAACGACCAGCAATGCAACTTGATCATAATGGTCGTTTACCTTTAATATTACGACAAACTGATTGAGGAGAAAGTTTTATTCTATATGAAGATGATTCTATGGTAATATTCACATGTGATAAGGACTTATCAGTTTTAAAGCAGTTAAATTTATTAAAATAAACTTTATCTCATATTGCTATACTGAGAATGAATAGTTACAATATGGGACGAAATGTAAGGGGACAAAATAAAATTGTGACGAATTGTAAGGGGACAAATTGAAAAGGGACGAAATGTAATTGGGACAAAATGTAATTGGGGCGAAATGTAAGGGAACGAAATGTAAGGGGATGAAATGTAATTGGGACGAATTGAATGGGACGAAAAGTAACGGGATGAAAAGTAGGGGACGAAGTGTAGGGGTACCGTTTGAAGACGTCATGGACGTCTCTTTATTTCATTTTTCTCTTTTCGCCATTTTTTCTTTCGACGTTTTATTTTTCGTCAATACGCTTTTCGCCATTTTTACCTTTCGACATTTTCATTTTCGCCATTTTTCTTTCGACATTTTCACTTTCGACATTTTTTTTTCTACAATCTGCTTTTCTACGTCCTGTTTTTCTACATTTTGTCTTTCGACGTTTTCTCTTTCGACATTTAACCACCTATTCACATAGTGTTAAGGAACCAATTTGAACACTTACTATCGTTAATCTCAACAAAGTGAAGCTATCTAGCAGAGTGAAAATCGTAACCGACTTCGTTGAAAAAAAGCTCGGATACACTCCTTTGGATGTCAATACTCAACAAGAGTAGTTAGGTTCCAATATGTTTCAAGGTCGCTTGTTATTCAATATATTCGAACTCGAAGGAGCATAACCTAATAGAAATATACAATTTTTCTGTTCTAATGGATTGATTTTATTGGATTATTCGATACTTTGAATCATCCATCTTTTCACGTACATCTTTTAATGTCTTCTGATATCCTTTATGTTTGTACCCCAATCATGTGTGTTAGTACCGGTGCGTCAATATCCATGGAATCAATTGCCAATGAACATCGACGCTACATTAAAGAAAAGTATCCTCAAAGTTATTCACAACTTTGGTTTCAAATATATGTAACTAAAAATCGAAATTTTTCAAAAAAATTAATCGAACGAGCTGAAAGATGTGGTTATAAAGCTTTAGTACTTACAGTGGACACATGTGAAATAGGTAATAGAGAATGTGATATTCGTAATAACTTTTCATTTCCCGATGGTATACGTGCTGAAAATGTTATTAATGAGAATAATATTCTAGCGAAAACTTATCGGCAACTTCAAATCGACCCATCATTATCATGGAAAGATCTTGATTGGATACGATCAATTACATCGTTGCCTCTCATTCTTAAAGGTATTATGCATCCGGATGATGCTCGTAAAGCTGTTAGATATGGTGTACAAGGAATTATTGTATCGAATCATGGGGGACGACAATTGGATACATGTCAAAGTACAATTGAGGCTTTACCAGATATTATGGCAGTTATTAGGGAGTGCAATTATCAAATGGATATTTATATTGATGGAGGTATACGACGAGGAACTGATATCTTGAAAGCTCTAGCATTGGGAGCACGAGCAGTACTTATTGGACGCCCTATATTATGGGGTTTGACGGTAGATGGAGAGCAAGGTGTGACAAATGTATTGGCTATATTAAAAAATGAATTTCGTGTGGCTATGATGCTATGTGGATGTCAAAATGTTGAAGATATTAGAAAAAATAATCTTTTAGTGATGAATGATAATATTAGATCAAAATTATAAAATATAAAAACTACCATTATAACAATCGGAATCATTGATCATAACAGATATACATTGCTGTCTAGAGTTTATAATATGATTGTAAATGCTTATTTTGCTAATACCATAGAAATACAATTTGATTAAACATTGAATATACATATATAATTGAAACCACTACGAGATAAAATTTCTAAATGTGAAAACTGTATAATTTCAAGACATTACAATAGATTTCTCTTTCTTAATAGCAGCTTTTCCGACTGCAATAAATCATGCTTGATCAAAGTTGAGCAGAAGATCTCTTGAACAAGAAACAAACGAACTTTGTCATCTTAGTTGCCAGCCAAAATTCAATAGCTTTAGTGGAACAATGGTAGAAGTTTGAGCTACAGTTTGATATTAGTGGATCAGTTAGTATTATGGGTAAAGCTAATATATCTGACCATCTTACGATCTGTTATGTCGGCTAGAGAATTTACTGAATTACTATAATCCGAGCATCAAAACTGGATGAGTGTGTAAGATGTAGACAAATTAATAGGCAATTAGTGATCTATAGAATCGCCAAAATGATTTGAAATTTTCTTTTTAACGAATATTTTTGGATTCGACTATCAAATGTATCATCTCGTGAAATGTTTAATCACGGCATTGCCGGATAATTTGATACTTATTATATTGCGCCGTACTTGATCATCTCTTGAATAAGATCAGCAAAACAGAAAGCATCTCGACAGAGAGGAGAACAATATGAACAATCGAAACATTACCCTTCATTTACCTTAATGATAAAATCTATCGAACGAATCTGCTTACTACTAGGTGAAACGTGAGAAATATTCGTTTCTCCTTCAGTTAGCACTCATGAAGAAGAATGATCATTGTTGAATAACTTATATTTGACTTCAATAGAAGCAGAGATTTTCAGTTGAAAGGTGAAGCTTGTCTGAAGATATAGATTGTGACATTAGATCATAGATGTTCGACTTAATGAAACTTCAAACTTTTGAACAATGAATTCAGTTTAGAAGATGAGAGAAAACAAAAAAAGGCGAGAAAAACATTTAGTCAAAAAGTATTGGTCTTTTATTCAACATATGATATCTTTGTAAACGATTGCAACATTCAATACTTTGCTGATAGATTTTCAAAAGTTTTCAAAGGAGATTTTATGAATTTTTGACGTTGACAATAATATTGTCATCTTCTGGACGGAGTATTAAACCAAAAGTTAGCTTGGGAGGCAATTCTTCGATAACAATATAACAATAATAATTCACTTATGTTCAAACTTTAGATATTAATCGTCATACCTCAATGTTCTTGCAAGGCTTACATTATTGAAGGTAAACATAATACTGTTTTTCTTGCATACTAATAGTATTCTCGTATTGTACAATAAGTGAAGTATCTAGGATCGATAAAAAAGATATTGTTCGCATCAGACTTCTAATTTTGCAGTTTTGAATAGTTGATGATTGTATCTTCTCATAAAAATTCATTGATTTATTCTTCAACAAAAACATCATTCCATTCGATCTGTAACGTTGCAAAATATTAAATGAGATAGAATTCATGCTGCTGTTTCGTTCTGTTCTCGTATATCAAATAATTTTCTTAATTTTAAAGTCGAAAATTAATCATCTCATACGACGAAATTGATTTTCATACTTATTAAGAATTTTATGGATTTTTCTTGTATTTTTTGTGTCTTTCCAATGAATGTTATGTATACTTGAGTAGTAGTGATTTACTTCAAAGGTAATTTGTAAACACAATGACATGGAAGTATTTTGCGGGTTTATTCCAACTTGCTGCAATATCAGGTTGTTCACCGAAAAGAACGTTGATGGCATCAATGATGCAATGTCAATATGATTTTTTTTACTTTCTCACAAATATTAGTCACGATAAAATTGTGAAATGAGACTCTTGGACATTTCCATATTCCTTACTTGGCAGCAAACGTAGTTCTTCTAGCAGATATATAAAAGGTTGTTACATAACTGAGTAACACAGTAAGCACAACATTTACAGTAAGTACAACTTCTTCTATCTTATTCCACAACAGGTAAGGGAATACAGTTATCGGGTAGAAGAGACAACAGAATATTCTTTACTTTTACGACAACTATGTATATCAGAAACTAGCAAAAGACAATGCTATCGTGGGTTGAATATCCATTCTTAAATTGACTAAACTATGATGATGATGATGTTTGCATGTTGTATACACAATAATCAATCACATAATTAAAAAAATCGATATAGTTAACACAAATGTATTTTTTTTTCTCAATTCATACTGTGGCTCAAAAAAATCAAAAAAAATTCGTTTAAATTGTTATTTTCGAAATTTTCATATGAAAAATGTCATGTTTTTAGTTATTTCAAAACCATCAAAATCATTCCATTAGTTTAGTTATGTTGATATCATTCTCATTACATGACTTTGGTTATTTTCGGAAATAAAAATCATTACATTAGTTTTACTACTTTTTCAACATTTTCATTTCCGTATTTTTGCATGATTTTCAGAATTTCCAAAGAACTAAAGTCATGCCATAGCTTGGATTACTTTCATATCATTTTCGTTATTTGATTATGATTATTTTGCAAAATATAAATCAGTAGATTTTGGTATGAAAAACATCGTATGTCATCAGTTCTTTTTGAAAATAAATGATGAACATGATTAATTTGAATCTTATCTACAAATTTGTCCTTATACATACCGCTTTCTAAACAAATGCAATATGTGAAGCATAGAAATCATGTCGTGCCCTGCCTTTTCTAAAGTCTGTGATGTATTTTTAATGCCACATGTACTTTGTCACTTGATATGACGATGAAGTAAAATGAACTTTTGAAAAGTTCATCGCAAAGTCTCTTGAAGAGCAATCATCCCAGATTTGTATAAAAGTCTGACTATTACTACTCACTCAAATGGTACAAAAGTTAACTCTTTTTCTTTTCATCGTTTTCATGACGAGATTTTCATGCAAAATTTTAATCATTTTCATCAATTAGTTTTAAAAAACATAAAAAATAATTATCGTTTCTTCATCGAAATGATGTGGATTACATCATTTTTTGCCACTTTTTTACTCAATGAGTCACTAAACAGCTTCCAACAAGTTAGGCACTTGCCAAATCCAAATTGTTTTATGTGTTTGGGTGCCATGTATGTAATATAATATAACCGTTCGTTCGATGCAGAAAACTCCTAACTGCTGACTTTGTTTCCTTAATGGACATTGTTTGTTTGTATGCAGTTGAAACAATAAACATCTACTTCATCCTTCATGTACAACGTTCAAAAATTAAAACAAATTTCGTGATTCATTTTTACCTGCCATTTTTTAAAACTTCCACTATACTCCTATTATTTGCTTCTTTTCACAAATAATTGAAGCAAAATTGTTGCCCATGTCATAGACACATGAAGCATTGACATCGCTATCTGTCGATGTACAGTATTATATTCTTCGCGTCGAGTTTGACGAGCATGATCTTAGATAGAACTTGAATGTCATCAAAAAATTCACATGATACAATCTAGTGACGTATGCATGATTTAGATTTTACAGAAATAAATAAATTTTATTTGAAAAATTAGATTCGCTAGTTATGTAGAGCAACAATGTCTGCATTGAAAAGGCTCAATACAAGGCAAATGTGACCGTTTTTATTTAAGATAGACGAAACTTTGAATCTTGCGATAAAATCATTAGAAAGTTGTTCTTTTCCAGTATACATGGAAAGCCTAATTGGACTTCTCAGATTCTTTCCTTTTGGTTTTTTTTGTTCTGACTATTGCATTTTATTTTGCAATTCAAACACAATCTCATAATTGATTTGTTTTCAGGAATCTCTTTTCAAAATAAACAATAACAATCGTGAATAATGCCAGTAAGTAGTACTAAACTTTATAGCAATGTTTCTATTTTTCTGACTGATTCGATTTCATTCATTTTATAGAATTCTAATGGTAATGATGGCATTCCCTTAGGCGTTCAACCTGTTGACAGTTGTCCTGATGATTATTGTATATCTGTGGTAAGTCATAAATATTATTTGTGAAGTTTACGTAGTACATACTTTCGAATTATTTTAAAGGAAGCAACCGGACAAAAACATGGCTAATTGTGATGATAAATTGAAGAATCGATTGAATAAACCTCAACACTAGATCATAATCTCCAAAGCTTTAGGAAATACTTTATGCTTGTCTTGTATTTCAGTCATCGGTCAATCAATCATCATTTTGTATATAGTCAACTACTGTCATAAATTATTATAAATAACAGTATATTTTTAAAATTATGCATAAAACGGTGCCTGAACATATCATTAATGTTCAGGATATGTCAAAGTCGGCAAAACGAAGACACATACATCTATCCAGTTTTCACACTCCCACTCACATCTTCCAATCTCAAGCTGAAAAGCATTTTTACATGAAAAGAAACTCACTCAGTTCGTTTTATGACCTATAGTGTCTTATAAGAATATTTGTCAGATGCATTTCACAAGGCATTGTTTTTTTTTTATTTTCAATCGAATGCTTTATTCTCATGAATAAGATAGAAAAACTATGTCTAATAAATCTAGGAAGATATTTGATGATTTTATTCACTATTTACTTCTCTTTTGCTTTTACTGTTGTAGTTGTCAACATCAGAAACATGGTGATGTTTAAACTTAAAACTATACAAATTAAGAAATGAAAGGTTAACTCAAATCGAAACAAATCTCGATATATTTTATAAATGAACACTTACTGAGGAGCATAACACACAAAATATACTTTGATCATTTCGAACAGTCGTTACATATTCAAAAGAAAACTGTTCACTTAAATAGGAGGTGACGTGATTATATGCTACTACACTATTTGCATAACTCACTGGCGTATATAGTCACTTCCTTTCTTACTTGTCCAAACATTGAAAAAAAAAATCAATATAGGCTTGATACCAGTGCATATATATACTAGATTAAAGGAGGCTACGCATGTTTTTCTACCGTAATGCATATTTATCACAACTAGATGAAAAAATAATAATATACGTCTCATTACATATTAATAGGTTAGAGAGGAACTACGTTTTTGCCTCTGGACATATGATGAAAATTGAATCTTAAAATCTTTCGCGGACAAAAAGAAACGGATCACAACTTATCGGTATATCAATGCATTTTGAGTAAATCAAGATGAATATGTTAAAAAAAAGGGTATATGACGTGTATTGCAGAATTATTTATTTAACATTTTCATCAGACATGTTGATTATTCTACATATACACTAATGAAAAGAGTTATAAAAAGACGCTTATGAGATTTCGCGGAACTTTACGTTCGAAAGGTTTCAGAATTCAATAGGCTTCGTGTAAAAACATTACAAGTTTTCGTTACCAAAATGACTTTGCAGTAGACTACTGTTTTTCCTCGTCGAATCTGTAATACAAATATATTTTCATCAATCAGAAACTCAACTGTACTGACTTGATTCTTCTGCTAACCCATTGACATTGACTATACAATCAAATTCGTAAATATTAACGGTTAGGAGATCACTTAACAGTAAGTCCCTGTCTCATACCTGGTTTTAGTTCAAGTACATTCAAATTACATAAAATTTTCAGTCTGATACCATAATGTTTTCGATAGATATGCATCAAATTAGGGTCAAAATATCTTATTTGGTCTCCCAAAACTCTTTCTGAGTCTTCGTTCCATATTTTCAATACTTTTTATTTGAGAGAACATCTAAAAGTACAGCATCTGTCTATTTCTTTTCTTTTTAATTCTTAATTATTTTTTAGATGGAAAAATAAAACTGTTCTATTCAATTTTTCTCTGCCAAAGAGGCCTATTTGGTAAAAATAATGACTTCTTAAATAAAACTTGACGAAAAGTTTCCAGATTATGCTGTTAGTCAACTTTTCTAAAGCAAAGTTATTTTCGCAAAATAGACCTTCTCTGGCGAGAAAAAATTTACTGGAAGAGTATTGCCCTTAATAAAAACACTTTTTGACTGAAATTTTAGTAAATTATAGTTAAAGAGAAAAATAACTGAAATTTAATATTAACGTTATGAAAGAGTTTGGGAAGATTTCATAAACCTTTTAAAGCTTTATTATTTTACATTTTTCACACTGTGCTTCACTATAACAAACTTTATGAAGCGTTCTTTTCATATAGCGATGACCTCAATCAGCTTGATGAAGAACGAAGAAATTTTTGATGCATCGAAAGAGATTCTTACTTTTATTTGTAAGTTAGTGTTGAGAAAGAAAATACAAAAAAGAATGACGTATATTTAGCAAGTTTCTATCAAAAAAATGTGATATAATATCAAATTAAAATATCATGAACGATTTAGTGTTTAGAAGGATGTTGCGTGCTGCTGAAATTTAAAATAATCATTGTACATGTCAAAAAAAAAAATTATCTTTAATTTTGATGTCTGCAACCATGACTAAAAATGACGTGTTACAAGCAAAGTGTACTGAAACTTGAGCTAGTAAAAGGTACTTTACAAAGCATAAGAAACCTCGACGTACCATTCTAAAAATGCACAGAGCTTTTAATTGTGATTAGACGCTATTAGAAAGACTAGAAGGATAAAGCATGATTAAACAAATAAAAAATAAATCTTAGAAATTGTTTATTTTATCTCGGCAAATTGTGAAATGATAATCAGTGATTAAAATGGTGTTTTGATCGATTTAATAATAACATCTTCATCCCGATCTTGTTGTAAGAAATCGTTAAGTTTGTAATTAACATAACCATTTCTACGTGCATTTGCTAAGATTTCAGCTAATCTATCGACTTCAGCAGCTCCAAAGATCTAGAAAAAAAAAGAAAATGCATAAGTCAATACCGACGATTATGTATAAAATGTATTTTGACATATTATTACATGCAAGAGAGCTACATCAGACAACGGCCTGGAGTGACATTGACACTCCTGATATGGTATGTAACAGCTTTAGTTCAACTTGTAGAGTTGGTCAAAGTAATAAATAATTAGTTAATGACCAAAGCTATCGATAATGATGTTTATTGAATTACTTCACATTCGACACATGCTTATACAAGAGAGAGAAATATCGGCACAACCTACTGCTGACATCTCATAGCCTGTTAACAATTCGTCAGCCATTGTAAATATAAATAGATCTGTTCTGTTCTTTTCTTTTAGCTATTATTCTCTCTACTTACCGGAATTAATTCACCAAATGTAATTTCCATGGAAAAATCACCTTGTCGTCCATTTTCTTTAATTAGTCGATGAATATGTTGAAATTCCTGCAGTATTTTATATTCAAGATCTGGTTGACTAGAAATTTAAAAAAAGAAAATACAACTCGATTGTTGCCGAAGTCGGCAAAAGCCAACTTATGACATATACTTATGCACAGAGTCTTTTGGTAGCGGTGGTGGTGGGATTGGTGTTGGTTTTTTTTGATGTACTTTTTGCTGAAATTCAAGTAGGCATTCATCTAAGTTTGTTTTTGGTCTTTCAGGTTTTTTATATATTTCTTTGTTAGAAAAAGCCATGTTATCGTAGTGGATAAGCAGATAAACTTTTGTCTTGTGCCACGTTAGTTATAGATGATATGAATAGTGTCAGACGATGAAGAGAACGAAAATATCTACGTACAGATATACAGTTGCTGTTGCTTTTGTTGTTCTTGTTTAAAGAAATGTTTATGATTTATGATAGAAAGAAAGAAGAAAATATATTAGCGACTAGCTCCTTCTTTCCTATTCTAGAAGCATATAATCATAATAAGCTTCCATCTCTTTTTATCCTTCTGTTCTGTTCTTAGATAACTAAGGAAACAGATATCATTCGTTTAAATTTGGAAGAACAATAACAAAAACATTTTCTATACATGTAAAATATTTTTTGAACTAGAAACACGTCTACACGTGTTTTAAATGAAATTTTTAAGAAAATTAAAAAAATTCTCTCTTCGTATAGAATTTTTTTGACCGTTTTTTTTTCAAGCGGATAACATTGTGTATACCCTCACATTTTTTATGGCTTTTACAAGGTACATACCCATACCCTGATAATTAAATGGATATTTGCAGAAAAAAACAGCAATTTTTCTATAACATGTGGGTATTGATATATGGATAGCTGGAAAGAGAACATTTCCACTAACACTCATATTCACACGATTACAATGATTCTTCTGAAAATCAAAACTGAACAAACTGTTTCGTTACAATTCAATGAATATCGATTGTACTCATGCAGTTCATCAACCTTTTTACATAAGTTTAGGGAAGTTATTTCAATAACTCTCCGTGACACATCAGATTCCAATTAAATCGATAAATATAGAAGAATTTTCCATCATTTGAGTCGTCTTTCTCTCTGCTATGATGATGCAGTGGAGTATGTTATTTCAAGTAGAATATTAAATAAGCTCCAGCAACATATCAGAGAATTTAAAATTCATTGTCCACGAATCATTGTTTAATGAATAGAATTGAATACTTCTTACTTGATATTGGTAATTCTACTTTAACATCGACAAATGCATATCTTCAAGATCATAAACTATGTTTTTTTTGATAACAAGAAACGATTTTATGATGAAAATACTGAGTATTCGATGTATTCATTGCATAACTAAAAATTGTGACATTGAATACTTTTTCAGTGATGATCAATGAAAAATTCCAGCATATATATGTTCTAATTTAAACAAAATAATACTGCAAGTGTTGAGTAATACGTGTCAAAGAGAATTCTGGATAAAGAAAGTACTAGAGATTCAGGCGACGTTACGTACCATACGTCAAACCATCAAATTTCAAATTAATTTATTGTAATTTGTTAATTTATTCATTTTACTTCCTATACATCATTTTCAATTGTGCACAGAAATACGTATTAATTAATGTGTGGATGTGACTATATCTGTGAGCGACAAGAACATCAAAACTCATGCCCATACCCACTTATCATTCTGTGCTTTTTAAAAGCGTATATTTACTATGCGAATATTTTTTCGTTATTGTAGAATGTGCGACTAAGCAAAAGACTAAAACTAAGATAGAAGAATTCAATCTCTTTTATAATAATAATTATCGAGAATGCAGAGTTGTTCTTTTAATGTCATAAGCTTTCATCGTTAACTTTACATGATAATTATCAAGAATTGGGCATAATCGAACAGCTTCTGATCTTGGTCCGTCATCATGAGCTCCATCAACAACAGCATTTTTTTCAATTGTTAACAATAGATAAGAGGAGGATGTCTGTTATCCTGTTGAAAAATTCTCTTTAAAACATGATCAATACAAGAATGGAAGTCTGTGATTGCTTTTTATGTCTTCCTTTGTTGATCTCGTAAACTTATCTGTGGATCAGCATGATTTTGAAGACGTTTGCGTTTGTTGATTTTTTATTTTTTTTTTTATTTGAGCAATATTGTCAATTGTTTTTCATTATCTCCTATTAATAAAGTAGCTTGTTTAAGTTGAAGGAGTGATATAATGCGTTCATTAATTTCATTTCAACCATGGAATGCTTGTTGTTGTGCAATACCATTTGAGTGAGGATGTACTACTTTTTGTGGTTCAATGAGTTTTCATGATTATTTTCGCTGTCAAACTGATATTGACATCAAGTATTATCATAGAGGTAGTTGATGGAGTAGTAGGTGATGTAAAAGTTGGACAGGGTGTGGTCGTGGGGTGTTGGTGGGGATGTGAGGTGTGGGTGAGGATGTAGGATGTGATGAGTGTGTGGGTGGGGGTGTAGGTCTGGTCAACCACAACAGCCAGACCTACCCACACCCAAAGCACGCTGTTTTCTGCATGATTTACTTTCGAATGTCAAATACCTCTTCAAAAAATTGTGCACATACAATCAACTTCAAAGAAGCTGAGGTTTTTTCGTGAAATCGAAAGAAGTCAAGTGATTTTGAGTAGGCACTTTGTTTATCTATGGATGACTGAGGTTGACTGATATCAGTAATGAAATACAATCCACGTTAAGTTCTTTGCATTCACTTGTATTACTCATCTTATCTCTCGTTAAAGATAAGGGTTTTTTAATATGCAAATAGTGACATAACATTAATGACAATTCATTCTACGTTATCGACTATAAATACGTGCTGTTTTCTCCTTTACTTATTTTTTGCTGTCATATAGGCAAAACCAACAAACTTAGAGTAAAGCTATGACAGAGAGATCGCCTTGCTTATCATTATTCCTACTTATGCATGATCAACGTCTTCGAGATGCTTGGAATACGCACATTGTACACATTCGAGAGAGATGCAAAATTTTGTTCGTATTTTTTGTTATACTGTTGATATTCCAATATCATAATCGAGCGTACAATGCATGGAAATGTCCGTTTCCAATGAGTCTTGATCAATGTCGAAACCGCTTAGAAACGAACTATACATTAATTAGTAATAAATCATTGCTTTCATCTCTTTGGTTTCTAGTTCAACCTGAGTATATTCAAATTGAATTTGGTAAAAATAAAATCGATCAAAGCAGCAAGAATACATATCGAATGTTTTATGGTCATTATTCGTATAGAAAATTGTTATATATATATAATCGGGTCGTAGAGCCAACTATTAGCGCATTACACACGATATTGTATGTTAAGTTTGCTTCATACCAACCATTTCATTGGCAAATACGTTATCCATATCGTTTTCAATCGTTTAGTATGAAGACACTACAATGTATCGTTGAACAACTTACAATTCCGTCTAACTTATTTGAACGGTGACTCGAACAATCAGTGCACATTGAAAAGATTGAAGAAATCTATAATGGAAATCCAACAGTATTCAATGAGGCAGTAATAAAAAAATGTGGTATACTAATTGGATATCTCTATAAACCCACAAATGAATATATTTATCGAGGAGACTCATATGAACAATTTAAACTTAGCGACCAAGTTTGAGTATTTGATACTTGGTGTACCTATACTCCTTATATATCTTATGTACTGATTGGTCTCTTCATATATTTTCTGTTCAAAATAGTTATTCATCATGTTCAATTCATTATTAATCTTCCTCCTCACCAAGTTGGCGCTGGAGCGTTGTTTCGTACAACTATTTTTTATGAGTGATTCCTGAACAGATGAGATCAAGCGTGACTAGCTTTACGGACTTACCTTTGATTGAAGGGTCACGACAAAACGCAAAGAAGAGAACAGAGAAAAAACATGATATATCGATTACTACGTCAGTAATATGACGTCAAGAGGATCGCATACTTGTCAGAACGAACGACTAAAACCAAATTTTCTTCTAAAAGAACATTCGTTCTCTCAATATAGGTCAAACACATGTATCATTAATTGATTTTTGCGCTTGCAATATTTTGCCTCATTAATTTTTCTAAAGATATCTTGTTGTATGACAGCCATAATTGTGTTTTTTTTCATTTTTTTGTCGAAAAGTATAAAAACAGTAATTACAAGCATATCCTTACTAATACATCTTGTGACGAACATTCAACGTTCCTTGAAATGGGTGTTTGTTGCGGCAATAGCCCTCCTCAAGAATTTGTTGGCGTCTGGTCGGATGGAGACAGAGTACGAATGCGCATTTGGAATAATGGAAGAATTAATTACATAAAAGAGGTAAATTCAGAATCTAAACATAATTGTTTTGGAGGAAACAAAAAAAAATGTATAAAATTTTATATGTGAATATAGCTTTCGATTCTGCATTGAACAATTAAGATAACTTATAAATATTTTAGTTTCCTCATGGCCACAATCTGTGGAACATTCATGCTTGTTATGACGACAGCGGTTTTTGCACTTGTGTGATGTGTTGTTGCTTTTTGAATGGCATTTATGATGATCGAATACCTCAGAAACCAGCATTTATTGTCAACGGTGATGTTTTAACCAAGCAACCAATTCCATATCGTGGACCATTGCTATCAAATACGATCATATCTTCTTAATAGTTTCAACAAAACTTGGTTCTTATGGAATACATTTGTTTCATTAAATATTTGATATTTTTTTCCTTTAACAATACTCATGATGAAACCTCTTAAATAAATAAATTTACTCAGATGCTAATAAAAGCGATTGACCTAATGGGAAAGTTTCTTTTCGAATAACGAATTTGTACAAATATACAATGGCGACCCTAGTGAAGGTACTCATAGGGGAGTACTCAAAAAGTACTCACGCTAGAAAATGTCACGAGTACTCATGAGTACTCACGCATTTTGAGTACTTATCAGTAGTACTCCTGCTAGAATCTGAGTATCTGAGTACGACAATCGAGTACTCGCTGTGTAATATTGAGTGTTTTGTGAGTACTACTATCTAGTATCTGTGTGCTCTGCTGACCTATGTAAGATACTTATAAGCATATTTTTGGTTAGTATCGTTGTACTACATTAATTTTTATTTAATATTAAAATACTACCAACAAACAGAGGACATAATGAAAGGTTGAGAAAAATGATTAACATGAGAACGACAAATTTGATATCAGTTTCATATATTTTAACGTAAAGATTACAGACACAGAAATCTTTATTAGGAGCGAAGAAATTTAAATATTTTCTGTATTTACATACCATAAAAATACAATTTTATTTATTCTTTTCATTTTTCTTTCGAAAAATAAATAAAAACGTACTTTCATTATATAAAATAAAGAAAAAAGAAATATTTAATTATCTTCTCTAACAATAAAAGTTTCTTTGCCTATATCCTAGAGAATGAGAGTACAATAAGACATAAATTAAGGACAGTAAAATATACTGAAGCAGAAAGATAATAAATTAATCAACGACGATGAGAAACGTGACAATAAATGAACGTACAGTATTGCTTATTACACTAGAAAACTAAACAGACATTTTTAAATCCATCGCTATTTACAATCATCAGGAAATTTACAAAAAAATAAATACAAAATAAAATTATTTGTCTATAGTTTATTAACACATCTTATTTTAAAATCGCGATCGATTTGTAACACAATTTGCGAACTGCCTTGTGTTCCATGATATTCTACAATCAATCTAAAAAAATTGCATTTTAATGAAAGAATTTTGGCCTAAGCTTAAGAAATAAAATAAAAACGAATCTACATTAATATATTTAGAAAAAAACTTAATCTTTCCGAAGAATTGAACAAATGAAAATGAAAAATCATTATTCTTTTCTATCTTAAAGTCACCATTTATTTTATCCGTACAAATGATTCATCCAAAAAAATAGAGTATAAAATAAATAATTTATTCAATTGATTTTCTCTATTTTTCATTTTATTACATTAGTTTTTTTTATTATATAGCTCCAATTTATTTTTGTATATGCTAATGCATAAGTGTTTTGCTAAATATTCTGCGAAACAACTAGCATGAGTACGACTTTGAGTACTCATCTGTCTGCCTATGAGTAAATTTTTAAAAATAAACTCGTACGAGTACTCATTAAAGTACACGGAGAGTAAAAATACACATAAAATTCCTCGAGTACTCGCGTGAGTAATATGAGTACTCACGCTGGAAAGTCGTACTCGCTTGACGAGTATTTTCACTAGGGGATACTCGCAGTTCCATGATTGTTTTACTCGATTTTCAGCGATTTAATTTCAACTTTATTGTAAACTATTTTCTGTAGAATTTTTTTTTACCAAAGAGCAAGCATTTGTTTTTTTATATTCGAATTGATCTTATGAAAGTAGATAACGAATAGTGAAACATTTCGTCGCAAGATATCGTCTAGGAATTCTTTTCTCCTTCTGATCGTCCAGCGCACTAAAGACAGAATGTTAATATAACTGTTGAAAAACTTTACCATGGAGTCTTTTCAATCCAACAGCTTTAATAGTAGGATGGTCTTATTTTCCACTTTTCGAAGCTATTCGTCATTTTCATTATCAGTAAAAATAAAACTATGTCTGGCTCCTTGGCAAAGTCTTAAGGATTTACCAGGTTCTCAGACAAGAACAGACAGAATTTCGTCGCCTTAGAATTCTTCTAAACATAAGTGTTTGGTCACATAGTGTATGGCGTAGGTGTGATTGTGGTTGTGAGAATTTCTTCCATTCATTGAAAATTGTACAACTATAATTATTTTTCATTCGTATCTCGAGTCAAATATCGTTATGCTATTTCTCCTAGTTCATTTAGAACAAGCTGAAGATTATTTTCGAATAATTTTTTCTGCAACTAGTGATCATTGATCAACCACTTGACAAATAGTCTTAATTTATACGTGATATTAATATCGATTAAATACTATTCGCTTACTTTTTATCACAATTCCTTCTTTCATCCTTTTAATTTTCTTATAGAATATATATTGTTGTTTGTCTCTTTGATCAATACTTTCTAGTATACCTTTGCATTGCCATAAGCTAAAGCAGCACAGTTATTAGAAATACACGTATGTCAATTTATAAATAAAAGTGTATGAGGAGCGGACATAGTTTTTTTTAATAATTTTTCACATCTCAGATGGTGTGTCATTTGGATAACGCAACGACAATAGTATTCTTTTTTCGAAATGAATTAACTAAGGCGACTGTGAATAGTGTCCTTTGGAAATGTTTTTTCCGTCCAATTCTTGTTTTCGCAGAAAAAACATGAAAATGGAACACGAAAATGAGAACAATAATATTTTCGTAAACAAAAACGATAAATGGAATCCAAAAATAGCTGTTACCCAAGGGCATTAATCTGTGTGATATAGCATGTGATCTTTGAATCTCAACTTTTATCATAGACTTTCTTTCAAGCAGCATTCAATGAAATGATAGAAAACAAAGAATGATTTGGTGGAACACCCGTCATGAAATTTAGGCTATTGAGATATTTCACAATAAATTGTTATAGTTAGATAGAAAACTTGATAGATGATGTGAAAAAAATGCTTACTTACTTTCTTGTATGTATAGACCTTCACAATAAATTCATTTTCTGATTTGAAGACAATTGTTCTTAATCTCTAACAGAGATCAGAAAATAGTAGTCACTCACGTATGCATGTAGTTATCGGAGTATACATGACACTTTTGTTATTGATGTGTGCAGATAAGATTGAGAAAAAATGCATCTGGCTTCCTTGACATTCATTGTATTCTTCGTTATCAATATGGATGTGAATTTAAGCTATTTTCTAGAAAGCATCTGAAACTATATTCTAAATGTCAGAAACATCAATATATATTCTTCAAATTTGATCCTTTTCATTTATTGTGTTGAATCTTTAGTTTAGAGAATAATCAATCCCTATTGAGAAAATTCCATTTATTATAAATGGTATTATAACACAAGGTAAACATATGAACTACTAAAACCGATGTTTTCAAAAGCAAAATATTTCTGAATTTGACTGTAACATTCATTGAAAATCTATAAAATGAGTTTGAACTGCTGCACTCTCTCGCTATTACAATTACTGACATAAGACAAGTTTCATTAAGAATTAGAACAAGATATCGAGCCATATTCATATAACATAGAACTTAGTACTACTTGAGCCAGTAATACCAGCTATGGCTACTCAACTTACTGCTCCAAAACTACCACGTTGAGATAACAATCAGAAAGTATGTTTCTTCAAATATATTAAATACAACAACATATTTTGTTACGAGTGTTCAAGTAATATTCAACAAATTGTATGTTCGATGGTTATAGTCGTCAACCATTTAGATAGGTCCTGTCTTCTTTGAAACATAAAAACCGCAGCCATCTACATCCACATCCGAGCTAAGAGGAGACGTATTTTCGACCATTCAGATCAATTCTTTTCCCATATACAACAACTTGAAACCACCCCTGGCATCTTCCTCTCAATTTTCTAAGAAACGCATTTAATAGGCAACGAGTATAGCATTATTTCTCCTTAAGAAAAATAACTTTCTTCGACAATCAAGAAAAAGAATAAATAATCATTTCACTTATTAATTCCCAAGACTATGTTTGTAATAAAAAAACATCAAACAACTACATGAGGTGTTTTTAAATCTAAAATCTGAAGCTCTCTATTTCCACATCAGTCATTTTGCTTAACGATCTTGCAAATTGAAACATTGAAGCAAAACTACCAACGTCCGTGATCATATTTACAGAATACACGGCAACTGAAACAGTTAAATCCGTAGCAATATATCTCATATGATAGAGATTTTGTTTGCATGCCTCTGGTGGTGATGAAGGAAGTTCAGCTACCATTTGTCTATATTCATCTACAATATCAAATAACAGTTGTCTGAATGGAATCCACCAATACTTAACGTTTGATGTATATTGAGTTAAACTTTGTACTGTCTCATTAGTTTTTACTCCAGCAGTCGATTCTGCTAGTTCCGTCGTTTGTGCTACATTCGTCGATGATACTACATCGTTCAATTGTATTCTTTCGATTGTTTGTACTGTATTGGTTACTGATCTTGTACTGACCGCTTTTGATACTTCGATCGTTAGCTCTCGTTGAGTTGTTTCAACCGTATCGTTCATTTGTACTGTATCGCTTGTTCTTAGTATAATGGTCGTTAGTCCTGCATCGGTCCTTTCTATTGTATCGTTTATTTCTATTGTACTGGCTGTTCGTACTATGTCGCTTATTTGTAGTGTGTCGTTAATTTCTACTGGAACACTCGTTTCTAGCAGTCCGGTTGTTTGTTCCACATTAATCGCTGATACTGTACCATTTAATTTTATTGTTTCAGTTGTCCGTACTTCTTCGATTGTTTGTAGTATATTCGTTATTGGTGGTGTACTGGTCGTTTGTTCTGCTTTGATGGTTTGTTCTGGATTAGTTGTTTCTAGCGTTTGTATTGTACCGTTTGTCTCTTTTGTACTGGTTTCTAGTAGTATCTGGCTTACTTGTAGTGTGTTGTTAATTTCTACTGGAACACTCGTTTCTGGCAGTCCGGTTGTTTGTTCTACATTAATCGCTGATACTGTACCATTCAATTGTATTGTTTCGATTGTTGGTAATGTATTGTTTGCTGATGTTGTTCTGATCGTTTGGTCTGCTTCGATCGTTAGTTCTGGTTTAGTTGTTTCTAGGATGTTGGTGGTTTGTAGAGTATCGTTCATCCCTACTGTACTGATTGTTCTTACTACAGTGGTCGTTAGTGCTACATCGGTTGTTGGTATTGTATGGTTTATTTCTTTTGTACTGCTTGTTTGTACGATTTCGGCTGTTTGTAGTGTGTTGTTAATTTGTGCTGGAAGAGTTGGTTGCGGTTGTTCGGTTGTTTGTGTTACATGGGTCGCTGATACCGTATCATTCGATTGTATTGTTTCGGTTGTTGGTATTTCTTCGAGTGTTTGTAGTGGATTGGTTATTGGTGTTGTTCTGGTATTTTTTGGTGCTTCGGTCGTTGGTTGTATTTTAGTGGTTTCTAGCGTATTGGTGGTTTGTGCCGTATCATTCATTTGTATGGTACTGCTTGTTCTTGCTACTATGGTCATTACTGGTATTACGGTCGTTGGTATTGTATGGTGTAGTTCTATTGTACTGGTTGCTTGTTGTATTTCGGTTGTTTGCTGTAGGTTTGTCGGTGATACTGTATTGTTCATTTGTTCCGTAGGGATTGTTTGGACCACTTCAGTCTCGGTTACAATATTGCTCAATTGTACTGTATGAGTCGTGTGTAATATATTTGTGGTTTTCAGTGTATCGTTCCTTTGCACTGTACCGGTCATTTCTGCTAGTTGGGTTGTTTGTACCAGTTGAGTTGTATTTAGTGTATTGTATTTTTGGACTGTGCTGATCGTCTTTGCAAGTTCGGTTGTTTGCACTATATTAGTCATTGGCATTGTGTCGTCTGTTTGCACCGTTCCATTTGTTGGTGCCGCTCCGATTGTAGGTAGGACTTCTGGCGTTTGTAATGTATTGTTAATTTGTACTGAATTTGTGGTTTGTCGTGAAGGAGTCGTCGGTAGTATGTCGATGGTTTGTGCGGTGTCGTTGATTTCTACTGAACCGGTAGTATGTGGTACTTTCGTTGTGTCTTCGATGTCGGTCGTTGGTAATGTATCGTTCGTTTGATTTGAAGTGGACGTTTGGAGTAGTTCAGTTGTTCGTACTGTGTAAGTCGATTTTACCGTATCGTTGATTTGTATTGTATAGGTAGTTTGTTGTTTAGTGGTGGCTTCTAGTGCTTTGGTCGTTGGTCTAGTGTCGTTCGTTTGTGATGTAATAGTCGTTTGTAATGCATTGGTAGTTTGTACTATGTCTGAGGTTTGTAGTGTGTCGGCTGTTTGTACGGTGCTGGTGGTTGGTACTGTATGGGTGATTTGAACTGTAGATGCCGTTTGTATTGTGGTTGCCGTTGGTGTAGTATAGTTCGTGGGTGTCGTATTGGTCGTTTGCATTACCCCAATCACTTGTATCGTAGCACTCGTTAGTGCGGTCCTTGTCGTTTGTATTGTATCAGTGGTTGTTGTACTATTAATCAGAAATGATATATTTTTTACAGTTTCTGGTATAAGAAGGATCAATCGTTGTAGTTCTGATGAAGTGACAAAACTAGAATTCAGTAAATATTTATCATAAATCTGTTGTGTTTCATTAGCTAGATCATTCCACCAAAGGAGAACATTTGTGGTTGTATTATTGACTGTTGTGGAATCAATTATTGCCTGTGTACTATTCACACGTGCAGGTAAAGATTCAATCAGTTGATAAAGTTGTATCTGTTGTTGTTGTTTTTGTTGTGGCCTATGGAAGTGTCTTGAACCTGGAACTGAGCTCGCATTATTACACTCTTGATAAGTGTCTTGTAGGGATTCCCATGCTTCTCTACATTCTATATCATTTTCTAGTTTATAGTAGCACGCTTCATAACGTGTATTAGTCAATTGTTCAAAGGTCAAACGAGTTGTATAAAGATAAGTTGTACCTACAAGTTGTGTCGAAATGAGAAGTGTTTTCAATCCAATAAATAGTTGCAAGAAAATTTTGTTCTTAGTATAGAGGCAAGCCAGTCCGACGAGCGGATCTATGATTTTAAGACAAGCGGTGACAATTTGGTAGATGAATGTCGCCAGATATCTACTACGATCAAGCATTTTTGTATTTCGGTCCGAATTGATTGTTGATACACCATGTGAACCGACTAAAAATTGAAGAGAATAGGAAAAAACTTATGGTTTGAGTCCTTTCCTACTTAGAGGTTTTGTAAAAGTGCTCTAGACCGAAAGACTTTATATCAAAGCAGAAAGAAAGCAACGAGGATTTAGAACTACAACACTACTTTTTAGAAGTTTATTTAGGGTCTTAAGTAGTTTGAAGTTCTTGAGTTCAATAGAAACAGTTAAAGAAAAGAAACTCGCGGCACTCAGCTGTACACAATCTGTTTATAGCATAGAACTTACTTGTTAGTGTTGCAATACCCATAAGTAGTGAAATAATTAACCATATTTTAACTCCCCAATCTTTGACTCTTTGAAAGATATTCATGTGTCCAGTTCTTTTTGTTTGTTGCTTCTAGTTTACATAATCTGTGAAAGAAAAATGAGAAACTGGAAGTGTACATCTTTTAATTATTGGCTTGCATATGTATTACGAATGTGAGTAATCACAACAGATATTGAATCTTAACATTTTTTTTCTTTTCTTTATTTTTTATTCCAAGACATTATTAATTGAGAAAAAGAGTTTTTAATATGCTTCCATATTCGAATATATTGATGAAACATTCGGTGTACGATGTCTATTTGTCTTGCCTGTATGATTTCCGTATAACGAGAGACATCATGAAAGTTGATATGATTTAAAAATCTATGTGTAGAGCTATGTATCAGTTTTGAAAGAATTAATATCTATGATTTATTTTAGGTGATAGGATGTGAGCATGGGTATGCAGTGAATGTGATTATGGCTTGAGTGTAGTTATCGAATGGGTGTGGGTAGATGTGAGTTTCAATGTTACTGGGTATAAGTTGGTCTTAATATGGATGTTACTGTTGATATCATGCAAACTCACAGTTTCACTTATATCCACATGATCTTACGGTGTAAAAATCGTACAATTAAATGACCGTCAGTCAATATTGCGACTATAAAAGTTTCATATTAGTTTCGACCTCAGGAACTTGTGCGTCTGTACCATTTCTAGAAAATTTATCTAGTGGACGAGTTCTGATTCCTAGAACCTGTGTTGTTTGATGAAATATGGGTGACAAGGTAATGGCTAGATAAACTAATTCATCAACTATTTTTTATTTCATACAGAAATTTTTGTGGAGCTTTCAATCTTGTTCACAGGGTCAGGTTCCATAGCTATACAAAGTCTTAAAAAAGGCTCTCCTGTGACTACACGGAATAGAATCGTCACTATCGAAACTGAAAAGTGTTCTTACATAATCTCAAATGTTATAGAGTTGGTATAAGAACTTTTCAAGGTTTTTAATGTATGTTCAAGAAAAATATTGAGGGGTTTCGTATCCAGTATAATATAGAACATTAAGGTTCAGATCTCGCAACTGTCCAATCAGTTTAGACAGCATCGAGTATTTAGGCGATTACTCAGGTGCTTATTGAGCACGAGAAATCATGGAAGCATCCTGATGTCCAGTCAAGTTCGAGTTTGAGTATTTTGAAAATATTGCTGACTTTCTTTTAGGATGCTTCCAGCTTTTTCGTTTTTGAATCATTGATTTCATTATGGGTCTCATGTGAAAACTTTCTGCGTTTAAACGTATTTATAGTTCTGGTTTTGGCAAAAAGAAACATCTTGTTTTTCCAGATTCATGCTGAGTCACCATCAAGTTCATATGATGGTCAGCTTTTCCTACAGGACAGAACAAGTATTGTAATAGTTTGAAACAAACCTTCAAATTGTGCAGTAATATAGACTAGAACAGAAGACATCTGATTACAAGTCAACATACCTAAACTAATGAATCACATTGGCCTATGAATATGTTAAATACATCTCTGTTTTGAATAAGCGAATTTTAGTAACACCTACATTATATACTATAGAACATGTGTAAAATACAAGGATATATTTAACTGTATTTCGCTAATTGTGTTTATGGTACTTTAGAAAAGATAAAGATTAAGAGAATTTTAAATTTAAAAAACTTAAATGGATACAAGTTCATTCCTTGCAAAATAAGAAAAAAATTATCTATCTTTTGAAAAAGATGAAGTTAAATCTATCACCACAAATAATCTGTTTCTAAGAAAATATAAATCTAAAATCAATCATGATTGAATTTTGCTCTTACTTATCTATTATTGGTCATAAATCAGACTTTTAGATCTGTACTATTTGCTTTTTAATAAAAAACACTTTGTTGTTTTACGCAATTTTTTCTTAGCACACAATTTTTTTAAAAATTTTCCTAACGCAAAAAGTTATTTTGCATCTTCGTCTTTCTTTTTTTTCAAAAGAAAATTATACTTTTTTTTTAAATTTTTTTCTATAAAAATAAGTGTCAATTCTGAACATTATTGAAGGCTAATAAGTGAGACTTATTCATTACACGAGTCTTCTTTCATAATAATAGGGCACAACAATCTAGTCTGGCAACAAACTTCGAATAAGTTCTATTCAAGAACACAAATATCCTATGATATCAATTATAAATCGTGATCATTAGTCATTTATTCAAGGAATACTTCTACTTCATTTTACTTTTCGATAAGTTGCATTAATCCTTTTAATCTTGACATTTTTTTTAGAAGTTGAAGAAAATCTTCATTTCTCTCTCCCTTGTGTTCTACTTTAGATAATCAGCTGCACACGAATTCTAGCTTCATTAGTTCAGTGCGAAAAAAATCGATTTTTACAGCGAGAAATACATTCGCTTGTCTGACCACACAAAGGATATACAAGATTGAGAGGGCTAAAGGAAAAGAAATCACTATTTTTATTTACATAATAGTTTTTAACATATGTACAAGCATTTTAATCATATTGTATTCGAATCACTTAGCAGAATTATCATTTATTTAAATATGAAAGATGAAATCTGAAATACTAAAAATAATTCTTTCTTCTAAAAAAAATATTATTGAGATCATTTTTATGTAGATATTTCTAAGACAACATGTGTCATATTACATGAAAAGGCGATAATATGATATTGTGGAATATACTTGTCAATAAATGATATAGTCATACGCAACTACCCTTATATAACTAGAAGACATGACGAATGAGTCCATTCACAGACCGATGTTCGGAATCTCATACAAAGCAATTAACAGTGGTCAAACAAGCGTAAATTCCATCGATAACTGCGTTTGAAACTCAAAAAGGGTAGATCTACTATAGCTGGCCATAAAATGTATTGTTTTAGCCTGATTCTACTACCTTTTATTAATTAACGAAAAATGACTGCGCTCAAGCTCGAACTCGAACATTTAGGTTCAGCGCATACCTAGTTGTGGTGCCCATAGCAACGATTCTCTAATGTGT